TTTATGTATATCCCTTTGCAACCAACCGAGCTTTATATCTGTCAATGCTACCATTGATTTTAAGTTTCATAGTGAACACTCATCGACACCCGATTGTCTTCTTTCCTTCGGGTAGGGAGACAATTTCCCAAGTAGAGTTCTTTTGCAGAGCTTGTATTTTTTTCATTTATTATCGTAGCCCAAGCTAGATCTATCAAAGCTTCCTATATATTACTAGGAATGAATATATTGGATAATTGATTAACAGTGAGTGCATATGATTCAGAAAGCTTATAGTTAAAGACATAATTGTTGATTGGATATTGCACATTGACTCTCTAATCAGGTTCGTATTGTTTTTTTAGAACACCTTTATTTGATCGTTGCGAACATCTTAGGGTTGTAGTAGCAGGATGAACATTCCAGGTATGAGAAATATCAGTAAATACGTTGGACTCATCAGATATAGGTTGTGAGAGCACCTGGTATTCAACATTTTGAGAAGAATCGTTGGTTAATGTTGTTAGTAAAGGCAACTCTATATTTATTTGTGACTCCTCATCAGTGTTTTTACCTCGTGACTCCTCATTAATGTTGCTACTCCCAAGCTATTTAATCTTTTTTTTCAACTCAACAAATTCGTTACTACCACTCTCTTGTAGCAAATGTTCATTGCTAGGTTGCCCCCCCGAGAGGAAAGAATGGAACTTTCTTTCGAATAAAATGGTTCAGTCTCATGGAAGGAGACATCTAAGGTAACGTGTAATTTTTAAGTGTGAGGATCATAACATCTGTACCTTTTTTGTAATTCTGAATATCCAACAAAAACATATTAAGTGGCATATAGATCAAGTTTAGTTCGTAATATTTTTGGAATGTGAACATAAGCAGTACACCCAAACATTATAGGCTCAAGATTTGGAAGGTGCGAGGTGGATAGTAAGGATTGCATCCGTGGTTGAGGTGTTTGAAAATCTATCACTCGAAAGGGTGTTTGATTAATCAGACACACAACAAACTTTGCAGCTTCTCCCAGTAGTACCGAGGCATATGCATGCCAAAGAGAGAGGCATGAACCACTTCTAATATTTGTCTGTTTTTTTGTTCAGTCAACCCGTTTTGTTATGGAGTATAAGTACATGAAATTTGATGCCGAATTTTATAGTGATGTAGATACTTTTGAACAGAGGTATCCAAGAATTTCATAGCATTATCAATTTGCCAACTAGGAATTTATTTTTGATATTGAGTACCCACCATTCTATGAAATTCCTAAAATGTTATATAAACATCATTTTTTTGTGTAGCAAAGACATCCAAGTCATTCTAGTATATTCATCGATAACTATGACAAATAACAGGTTTTTGATATGGTAGAATTTTGTACAGAACCCTATATATCAAAATTTATAATAGCAAAAGGTTCTGAACTTTAATTTAAACTCGGTAAATAAGTAATATGATGGCTTTTAGCCATTTCATAAATATTACAATAAAACTCAGATTCATGAACTACATTAAAAAGGTATGGATGTAATTTTTTAAGATATCCAAAAGAAAGATGTCCTAATCATTGGTGCCATAACCATATTGTGGCTCAATCTGTATTTGAACTTCTAGTTTGATATGCTTAGTCAAATTTATATCTTTTTTTTTCCTGTAAGTTCTAAATAATAAAGTTTGCCACGTTTAACATCATGACTAAGAATCTTCCAAGTCAGAATGTCCTGAAACATACAAAATAAAGGCCACAAGGTTACTGTACAATTAAGAGTAGAAGTAATTTGGCTAATTAACAATAGATTATGTTCAAAGGATGGGACAACTAGAACTTAGTTTAAGGTGAGATTTTGAGTCAGGATGACAATGCCTTCACCAACAATAGGGGAGGTACTTCCATTAGCTGTGGAAATAAAAAAAATATGTAGAAAAATGGAGGGATTATAACTGACCAATGTCTCTAACCATGTGATTTGATGTACCTGTATCAATTATCCAATTATTATCCTTATTAATTACAGAGAATGTATTTTCCTTACCAATACTACTAGAGTGAGCAATATTAGCAGTAGATGGCAGTTTATTACCAGCGGGCAGTTTATAAGCAACAGTAGTTTGAGCTTCAGTCGTGGTCATTATGGCTTTTCCAATGAATTTCTTTCTTGATTTCTTTGAAAAATCCCATCATTCAGGATAACTAATGATCTCATAACACCTCTGTTTTGAGTATCCTGATTAACTACAATGCCCACAAATAAGGCTTGTGTATTTTTCCAGCAGATGAATTATTTTAGTTCTTCATTGTTCCAGAAGCTAGTCTTTGACGAGATTGTTTTGTGAATATGACAGAGTGCGTGAAGTGGTCACTAGTTAGTTGATAGTTCATCATTGTTTGTTTTAGTTGAAACTCCCTCTTTATACAGGTGTATGTACTCTTCAAGTCCAGTTTTGGATCTTTGAGTATTATTTCTTTGCAGACTTCAGAATCAAGGCCACTTAGAAATATATAAACCTGAAGTCGATGCATTGTTGAATGCAACTAGACTATTCCTTCAATCATCTCTCCTTGAGAAGCAGTTCTGTGATCGATTTCTTGGAATAGAGCAACCAGTTAATTATAATAAATTGATACAGATCTACCTTCTTGTTTGATAGAGAAAGATTTCTGATTTAATTCAAACAAATGAGTTTCATCTAAGCCATCATAGAAGGTCTTCTACACAGCCTCTTATATTTTATTGGTTGTGGATAGGCGAATAAATCATTGTATCAGTAACGGACTCATTGAATCAATTAGCCAACTTTTCACTTTTTGACTTTCAATGATCAATGTTACAAACATGGGATCTTTAGGAGATATCCGGTTTTGTTACGAGCACTAATATGCATCTCCATTAGTTGAGACCATAGTAGATAATTGTTTTCATCTAATATGATGTTGGTAGGGAATGCAGAATTGTCTTGGTGAATAATAATAGGTAATGTTTGGTTATTTTGTGTAACGGGAACAAGGGGGTTGAGGTTTGTCATGTGGTAGAGGATTTATGTAAGATTCATATTTGATTAATTAGGCTCTGATACCATGTAGAAAATAATAGTGTCAGCAAGCTAAATTTTTCATTAATATTCTTCTCCTTGTAAGAGAAAATATATAGGCAGTGCTATGAATAGACAATGCTCTAAATAGGTAACTATCCTATTCTAAAGAAGTGAAGTAATTTTGTATAAGATTCGATATGAATCTTATAATTGGTTAGATTCACATATCTATTGCATGTAAAAGATTTGATTTGAATAGACAATAATCAGATAACAAAATAATATTTGATTTAGTTTTTATAATTAATTAGATTACAAAATTGCAACTCATCATATCAATAAATATATAAGACTTGTTTATTGTTGTATCATCTATTTTTATTTTTATTGTATTTTTTTACATAAAATAAAATAAAAACGACACATAACAACTATTAATTGTTTTTTTTTTTTATTTCTACAACTATCATTAATCAATTGGTTAATTAAGCAAAGGATTTAAGATTTAAGATCTATACAATCATTCAAATTATTAGGGCTTATCATACATCTAGGATCCAAAAATTTTTCTATATAAAATAACATTTAAAAAAATAAAAAAAAAAACCTTGAACTTCATCATGTCAGTCTCACTTGTATGTATGTACATGAATCTCATCTAAACCAGATTTAATATTAATAAATTATCAAATTAATCAAATTTAATAACTACACTTACATGCATGTCCATGAATCTCAATCATGATTATATGCATCAATATAAAACTTAAATAATATATATAAAAAAATTAATCAGGTGAAGGAAGACCTAGACTGAAACAACAACTTGGTCTCTATCTAACCCTAGTATGCGCGTAAATTTGTTCTTATCCCCGACAAAGGAAGGTGTGATAACAAGAACTGAAAATAGAAGGCAGAAATCAAACGGGAAAACTAGGGGCCTAAACCACAAGCAAAGCAGTTCCGTACCAGGTGAGATCCACGTGGATGGGTCCCATTAACTTCAGCCAAATCCAACCACATAAGCAAATCGAATCTCAGCTCTGTTACTCGCCACGTGTACGCCACCTCACAATATAATCCCAATAAAAAAAATCTAAAATCTAAATTTCTTTTTCTTTTTTTTAAGAAAATCCGCTGGTTGCTAGCTAAGGCTTGGGACCACAGAAGCTTAGTGTGGGTCCCATTGACCCAACACCTGGCAGTGACGTACACCACCAATTCTTGGGGTCCGTAGATTTGATCAAACAAACCCCTAGGTCTTTATCATTCTTGTTGAGTTTGTTCATTGACAACTTTACCCCTATACACTGCATAACAACTTAAAAATATTTTTTCCCTTTAAAAATATTTTTTAATTAAAAATTTATTAAAATAAAATTTTTATATTAACACATTAAAATTATACAACAATATATAAAAAATTAATTTAATATTTTTTAAATAAAAAATATTTAAAAAAATATCATAATATAAAATTAAACATTCATTGAATTTAATTAATGATCATAGTTTAATTGAGTCAAAATAAAATAATTTATATCATTGATACTTGTTTAATTTAAGTTACAGAACTACTAATTATTCCTTCATACTTTTTATTATTATAGGATATATCTTAATAATACCGGTTATTCTAATAAGATATTTATGTTTAAACTATTATTAGAATAATATTGATTAAGAATTTTAAATTATGATAGAATGCATAATTATTTCAGATATTAATTAGATTTAAAAAAATAAAGTATGGTGCTATTCATAATGATTGTGTCTATAAAAATTAAATATATATATTTTTATTTTTTATTAAAATCTATAAAATTTTATATTTCAATATATAAGCTTGGGCCTTAAATTATTCTTTCCAATTTACATAATAAAAATGATTTGGTATAATTGGACTGAAAAAATTGAAGCGCAAAACGAAAACCCACTATGGTAATTTCCCTAACCAAAGCAAAATTAGCTTAAGACCCTCCATTTCTCTTGCTTCTTCATTCTTACCTTCCCTCACCCACTCCTTCCCTGCCCATAGAAAGAGAATAAAAAAAATCCACAAAAATCAAGAACTCAAAGCTCAAAACTTTGTGATTTTTTAGATCAAACCCAATAAAGAATCCCAAGAATGAAGAAGTGTGAGCTATGCAAGAACCCAGCAAGAACATACTGTGAATCAGACCAAGCAAATCTTTGTTGGAACTGTGATACAAAAGTCCATGGAGCCAACTTTCTTGTTGCTAGACATGCTCGTGCTCTTCTTTGTCAGTCTTGTCAATTGCTAACGCCTTGGAAAGCCTCCGGCGCTCAACTAGGGCACACTGTGTCTGTATGTGAGAGATGTATGTTTTCTAATGAGATTAACAATCGGGAAATTCAAGAACAAGAAGAGAATGGCAGTTCAGATGATATGGAGGAAGATAGTGACAGTGAAAGCGATAGCGATAGCGATACTAATGATGACGACGGTGGTGATGAAGACGGTGGTGATGGTGATAATCAGGTGGTGCCATGGTCACCAACAACACCACCTCCACCGCCATCTGCAAGCCCTTCTTGTTCTTGTACCAGTACTGATGATAATGATGCAGATTTTGTCGAGTCTGTTAATGTTCTTTCCTTCAAAAGACAACGTCTCCAGGTATGCCTTTACCCAAATTTGCAGGAATGAGTTGATCGATATACCAATTGAATTGTCGTTAGTGGGTAGTTTTTTTATTTTCATAGTGTCTATGATGCATTGTTTTTAACTTGATCGGAACGGTGAGCCATTTTCTTAAAGAATTCTTACTTTAACGTCAGGGTTTTTCAGATCAGTATGCGCAAAACTGAAATCTCTTCATAATCATATGATAATAGTTCATCAACTGATATCCGTGTTCGCAGCACTAGTTGCTCCCCGAGCACACGTTTCGAGCTTGAGATTTTCTTTATATATATATATATATATAATAAGCAGCTCATCTACGCAATAAAAGAATAGTTGCATTGTCTAAGTAGGAATTGGAACTAGTATTTTCTTAGTGGTTTTTGATTATTGCAGGATGATCTCAACCGTTCGTATTCTCTACGGATGTACGGAAACACAGCTACGGATGTTTGAAAGAAAAGAGAAAGGAATTGGACCCGACGGTTTAATCCGGGTGGAGAGATGTGGAGGTTGTAAACTGCAGAGTTTGTTAAGAGATTGAGTGGAGGGTTCGAAGCCATTGATGTTGATTTGTTGAGGAATATTAGCCGTACGATTTGAGGAAGATTAGGGATATCCTTACTAGTATTTAGTAGTTTGACCTTTTCTAACAAAGATATTAACAGGAGGTTAGGGCTGTTTAGTTGTGGATCTTTGAGACTTTGATTGACCATATGGTTAAGTAATTGTGTTGTTAAATCTTGATTAATTATCTCAATGATTTCTCCATGTTGAAGCCAAAGCATAATTAACTATATCATGTTGGGGTGAGTGCTGGCTAGCAAGTTCTCGGTGCGAGCCCATTGTTTGGAATGGTGTTAATGGTAGGGACTTAGGGTTTCTTCCATGATTAGAGGAAAAAACTGGGATGTGACATTTATTTATTTATTTATTAATATTATTTGTCTCATTGATATTGGACTATCTACGTTGGAGTCATTTTGATTTTCTTCCTAGTACACCGTATTTTTTTTTTTATTGTATGGGAAATATTTGGGCATCCACAGCCTTGTCTTGAGATTTGAATGCTTGTTGACAGGGTAGGAAGGCAGTTCATTTGCCAACTAGACTAATCTTTAAGGTCTATTTAGGAGTTGTTTAGATAGAAATTAGGTTAGAGGCCGAGCATTCTTTTTCCTTTTTTTTTTCTTTTTAATTTTGTTTAGGTAAATAGTTTTGAGATGTGCAAGTGGCACTAGTAGATTATATACTTCAAAGCAAAACTTTATCTCACGAGACGGGATAGTAAAGATAGAGAAACCATGTCGTTTTACTGTTTTGAAAGCGTATAATTCGTGGATGTAGTTATAATTATATCTTCAAACACGTAAATAAATATATATTATTTTTTTATTTATAAATATTAAAAAATAATATAAATTATATTTTAAAATTTTATCTAGCGTTGTAATTTATTTTTATATAAATTATATTTTAAAATTTTATCTAGCGTTGTAATTTATTTTTTATTTTTTATTTATAAATATTAAAAAATAATATAAATTATATTTTAGCAATGTAATTTATTGAATTAAAATGGTTCTTAATAATAAAATGGTTATGAATTTAAAATTAAATATTTGATAAAAATCTCACTATTTTTATCGGAGGGTTGATAAGATAAAAATTAAATATTTGTGCAAGTTTAGTTTAAAAAATTATCGTATATATTAAAAAATAATATAAATTATATATTAGAATTATTAGGTAAAAATAATTTTTTAATAATAAAATATTAATAAAAGGGTTTCATCCTTTTTATTTTTTATTACTGAAAGTAATTATAGGAAATGGGAAATTCATGATTATTTCAGTGATGAAGCGTAGCATGGTGACTTTCAAGTATCCTTAGAAGGCATATGGAATCATGGAGCCCAACTTATGTTGAGAAAAGGAAAGAAAATTGCAGTAATGTCTGCTGGAGGAGCAGCTTTGAAGGGTATGAAAAGGGAGTTTGAGTGTGGTGCACAGAAGGTATTTTGAAACTTTAAATTGCATCCACTTGATTGAGAGGTGGGTTTTGCTCACTGATCACACGCCAAATGTCAGGTGTCAGATAATCTATGGCCAATGTTGAGTCACTTTAGGGGAGACCAGACCATAAGCCATTCTGGGGACCTCTCTGCCGCCCTGAGCCTGCGTCGTGTCTGTCCTTTTAATTTCCAGTTTTTTTATTTTTTTAAAAGTATTTTTTATTTAAAAATACATATTGAAATATTTTTTATTTATTTTTTAATATTAATATATTAGAAAATATTAACTTAACGTTTTTTCTATATATATATATATATATATATAAACAGAAGCTGCTCCTAAACAGGATCGAAATACAGACAACCTCCTCTGTTTGTGACCTGAAGTCTCTGCCTGTCCTGCTCTGCTCTTTAAGCCTCACAAGTTACAATCCTGTGAAAAGCCCTGCCAACCAAACCACTTGATTTGACATGCCATGTAGTGTTTTTTTAAATTATTTTTTATTTAAAAACAAATTAAAACAGTTTTTTAAATTTTGTTTATATTAGAAAGAAGTAGTGACACATGTTTTTTCCTGTATAGATATATTTTTAAAACGATGCAGTTTGAATTTCAGGCACCACCTCCAGGAGGGAAGTTGATTGGGAGTCCACTTCATATCACCATCGCATCTTGTTCTGTTGACGATCATAGGGCGTCTTGAAATTTAGGTGATTTCTTGAATTCGATTAAAGAGACGTTGAAACCTGAAAATTCGTGGGAATCTTGCTTTTTAAGTACAAATAAAAGTTTATCAGAAAAAAATCAAAGATAAAAAGATTTGAATGTTAGTAGCGAAAAGGAAGGGGGGAAGAAGCCTTATCTCTTTGGGTGGTAGTGGTGGCCATGGTTAATTCTTTATCAGTGATTAGAGTAAATGATGAGGTTTAATTTGTGTGGTTAACCTTTTTTTTCTTATTATTATTTTTATTGGAGGATAAGGGTAGTTATCTTTCTTCATCAATTAAGATTATTATTTTTTTATCATATTATTTTGATGTGGAGATTTAACATGGGACTGTTTTTTATTTAAATTATAATTTTAAAAATATTTAGTTAATTAACACACATCATAATTTTATATAGATAGTATTGAAAACTCTCTTTTGAAATCTTAATTATGATAAAGCTATAATTTATAATTTTTTTAATTTACTTGTTTAAACTATAACAATTAGAATGTATTTGAATCTTTATTTATTTTTATTTTTTAATGATTTGCTTTAAAACAAAGCAATTAAAAGTATAAAAAATAACAATTTGGTAATGATTTTAAAAATCAATTGTTTAACTTCTGAGAATGGGAGATGATTTTAATATATATAAAAAACATGTTTGAAGTTATATTAGTTTTTACTTTAAAAAACATCAACTTTAAAAAGCATTGGGGAATGACGCTTTTCAAGATGAAAAATTGCTCTTTAAAAAAAAACAAAAAAAAAACTAATATTAAATCATAAAAATACCAATCTAGCAATTTTATTTAAAACAGTTACGTCATTTTATTCATAGCACAATATATCATTACATTACTAAACATTTTAATATATGTTTAATCTTATAACACAACATAGCGCAACACTTACAATACAATAATTATAATTACAATTACAATATAACACAACAAAACCAAATAAACTTTTAATAAAATCTTCAAACTACAAATTCCAAATTCAAAAGATAATAATGATAAAAAATTTATTATTTTCCTTTTTTTTTTAAATAACCAAAACAGATTTTAATTATATTGTGGATTAAACTAGTAAATCATGGATTGCCTTATCCGATTAACTTTTATATTGTTAGTAAACTTAACTTAGATCATAATTTAAATTATGAATTTAGTAAATTAAAATAATAATTTTATAATTATTTCAAAAAAATTAAAATAATTTTATTTTAATTTTTTACTGAATTAACTGGATTATGGATTAACCTCCCAATATCTCAAGGGTCAACTCCAATCTAAACCAGATTTTAATAACAATGCTAGCGAGCAACCAATGAGGATTAGACACGCAGTGAACGACCTCCCTAGAGTTCATTCGTTTGGTTTACAAAATGTCAACATTGGTTAGGGAGATATCTATGAGTTTTAAATTGCATTTCTCTCCAAAATATCAGAGAGCAGATGGTCTTCATGGCTCGCCTGCCAAGTTGATGTAAACAGAAGATAGGCAGGCAGCATCTTTACTTCACCTTTTAAATATAAATAAATAAATAAACATATGGTAGTAGTAATAAATACTAAATAGTATAAAGTTTTTGGCCGGCCATCACATCAATCAAGAACATCTTTATGTGTTGGAATTCAACTTTATTTAAAATTTAAAACCATAATAAATTTTTAAAATGATGTGGTCTTGCAAGAAATTGTGGTCGAGGAAAGTCCTCTCACCATAGAACATGCTCCAGCCAGCCAATCAGGAGTCTTAATTACTTTGTTAATTATAAAAAATAATAATAATTGGGATTAACGGTTGCCACGGAAACTTCCCTTGAAATACAACCAAAAAGAATCACTTGAGAGAAAAGAAAAGAAAAACCAAGTGGGGTTTTGTGGTGGAGATTGATTGAGTGTTTTGAGGTGGAGTCGGTGTTTTGTGGTGGTGGTTGGTGGTGGTAACCTCCTGAGAATTTTCTTGACAACCGCGTTGATAGTGTTGTTGGGATGGGGGCTTTGATTGATCCTTCAGTCCCTGTATTTTATGAAAGTAGTCAATTAATTCTTCATCTATTTTATATTTTTTTCTATTTTATTTTTGTTTTTATTTAAAGAAGTAGATACGATGAGGGGAAAAAAGTACTTTTAAAACAAAATACTGTTGAATTAACTATAGTCAATGCTCGTTAAGGGACCATTTAATTATTTTCGATATTATAAAAAAATTAGTTTAATAAAGTTATAATTAACTATTGATCATAGGATTCTCCTGACCGTGATCTCATGAACTTGGATAATGACATATAATTTTATTTTTATTTAAATCTTTGTGTTTTTTTTTATATATAATATAGTAAAATGCAATTTAATTTACGTATCCATCCACCTTGAGTGATAGAGGATGATTTTGACACCACTCCTCAAATTGGCCCTTCAATTTTATTAACTATATAATAAATAAATAAAAATGTCCTTGGCCCCTCCCTTTATTTTGATAATAATAGTTAAGTGCAATTGTGGCTAAGATCCATCCCTCATTGGCTTTTTCTCAGATTAGTGGTTTACATGGCCGAAATCAATAATTCTTGTTTCTTTACATAAACTAGGTTAATTAAAACTTAGTGTAAATGTTTGTTTTCGCCTGACAATTTGTTTCTCAAAGTGCTTATTAAATTAATCTTCACCTTAAAAGATATTACATTAATGTTTTTTTTTGTGTTTTTAAGATAATGTTAATGTATTGATATAAGAAATAAAAACAAATATTATTTTTATATATCTTTAATTAAAAATCACTTTAAAAAAATATATGCATCGTGGTAACAAATGCACCTAAGTGTGGTGGTTTCACACCATTCTTTTTTCACTTTAAGTCTAATAATTATAGCACTTCATTCTACAAGGTTAGATTTAGACTCATATTTGCTTAATTAAAATCACGTATTTGATATTGTGAATTTAAAAAAATTAATTTTTTAAAAAGTTTAAAATTAATATTTTGATTTACTAATATAAAAAAATATTATTTTAATATATTTTTAAACCAAAAATATCTTGAAAAGCAATTCCCACCTAGATAACGTGCGGCCAAAACACTTATCCTGAGAAGAGAGAAGGACAAAGAGGCAAGCAAAGATTCGACGTTGCAACTTCCCAATCCTATCTTCACTTGCTTGTGACAAGCAATTCTACTATCCGTAGCTATCATGTTAAGTTCCATTCCCTCCAAAGATGGGCTAAGCTAATA